AGCAGGGTTTGGGGATTATGACTATTCTTTCTGGGTGTGAATATCGTTTACTTTTTTTACTGCTTTTTTGACACTCGTTTTTGGCTGCTTTTCAATATTAATGTTTCCACTATAAAACTTCAAATGCGTAACTTACAACAATCGAATTACAACAAGTACTGCAATGCATAGCTGGATATTACGTATCTGTATACTTTCAAAGTATACCGCGACAAGGATCCGCGCCCTCGAGTACACAGCTAAGTCGGGTCGACCACTATCGTCAGAATGATAACATTCTTCTGAATCCTTCAATAATTTTAGCAACTTAAGTAAAACGAGTTTTTTTTACCCCATCCAATAAGACAGTATGTGATCCGTTGGTCGTAAGGAGAGAACACCTTGATCAGTTTGAAGTACAAATGAACGGCTCCTGCTAGCATCCATGAAAAGACCGCTGTGTGGAAGTAGTGCTGAACAACAGCAAGAGCTGAGCACGCGTCCTAGAGATTTTTAAATATTCATTTAGTGAAACCTCGATAATATTCGTACAGAAACCCACTTTCTCTCAACGACATAACGTTCAGTCGGCCAACGAGAGTTGTCAAATCACTTAATAAGATTCTTGATAAATTCGCCATTTTTCAGAAAATTGGTTCATTCAGGAAAAAAATGCACTCTTACATTATTACAGACATTTGTTATACTTCAAATGAAAATTCACCTTAAGTCGTTTTTTGAAATTCAACGCACATATTTGCAAAATAACCTGAGACAGTGTCAATGCAAATTCAACAGCGTATTTAATTTTCTCTTGGATCATTTACTCCTTGCAAGTATTTATACATCTAGCTGCTTTCTTACCGGATAATCGTTCCTCGCGGTAAAAGCCACATCCGCCATGTAAACCGCATTAGCCATGCAAAGACTCAACATCAGGCTTTTGTGTACAAACAGCTTCGTCGATTTTTTCAATCTAGTATTTGCAAAAAGTCAACATTGTGCATCAAACTTGACAAACATAAGTTTCATTGGCCTAAAATACTGCGATATCAAAACATTATTTTTTCAAATATTTCCGTTTTTGTCGGATCATATCATTTCGTGGAAGAATTGAATTTTAAACAAATATTTGTTCACATACATGCAGTATTTGTCAGCCAATGAATTGAAAAGAGACTCAGGGGGAAAATAGTTATAGCTGTTTTGATTAACCACGTCAGAAGTTTATTTTGAGAAAGACCATCCAACCCAAATATTATGTGTACAGTGAGTGCACTTAATCTGCGAAATTTAACTATACCTGGTTATACTATCAATGTAGAAAATGGCGCCCAGCATAAAGAACAAATGTGATTCAAGCAATGTTCCTCTTCAGTTGCAAAATTAGTTCAAATTTGTGTGATTTTGTACAATTTCACACATTAGAGTAATCGCACTTAAAGCGTGCAACTGTACAAAATCTAAGTAGTATTAATTTGTACTAAAAGTTGACCTGAAGCAAGACGGTATTGAATGCTTCATTTGTATCAATTCAATTTAATTTGCGTACCGCATGCACGGTTTACTAAATACAACTAAATAGCACTATTTAGTTTGTACAGTTGCACAGATTAAGTGCGATCACTCTAACTGTGTTCAGTCTAAAATTCATTCGACCCTGGGAATTCAATTACACTTACCTTAGATACGACATAACGATCATTGACATCACCATAGTAACCGTTGCGGCGGCCATCAAACCAATTTCGAGGAATTTTTGTTTGTTGTTGAGCACTGGTTTCATTAATGTTATCTTGACTTTAGTGTACGTCGAATTTCGGGAGCGATTTT